TAGTAACAAGTGCCACGCTACTAGTAACAAGTGCCACGCTAGTAGTAACAAGTGCCACGCTACTAGTAACAAGTGCCACGCTACTAGTAACAAGTGCCACGCTACTAGTAACAAGTGCCACGCTACTAGTAACAAGTGCCACGCTAGTAGTTGCAGTTATAAGTATCTTACTAATAAGAAGCTACTAGAAACAAATGCATCGCTACTAGCAACAAGTGCCACGCTAGTAGTTGCAGTCATAAATATCTTACTAACAAGAAGCTACTAGAAACAAGTGCATCGCTACTAGTAACAAGTGCCTTACTAGTAGTAACAAGAAGCTACTAGTTTGGAGTCTTACTCATGTGAGATTATGCTGCCTCCGGCTCGTCGAAGCCGTAGTCAAAGTTTGGCGCTTTCTTCGCACCCGTTGAGAGCCGTCGAAGCTGACCTCTTCACAAAATCACAGAAGGAAAGACTCAACGTGCAGCTTTCTGATGAATCCGATAACTGAAAAATTAGTCACTATATAAGTCCTTCTCTCGTCAGTGTGTCTCGTTTCGGCCTTTGGCAGTGACTCTGGAATTCCGAGAGTCTGGTGCACGCGCAGGCTTCATCATCATTGCCCTCACTCCTGGCAGGGCAGTGCAAGTAGACTATAGTTAATCCAAAAGAGGTATCCTGCATCAGGGACCACCATTGAAACTTTTATTACGGGACAACGGTGCCAAAGATTGCCACAAATGCCTCTCCTTCGAATGAGACTGGTTGACCAAATCTGCATTCCAGCCTTGTCCAAATTCCGCCGTTTTGAGTTGCCGTCAGTTCCAATGTGCTTGGATTTCAGGTGGTTTGAGAGTTTTCTGCACTCGAATGAGATACATTACATTGTGCACTTCAATTACAAAATAGAACCCATCTGGGAGACAAGACGGTTTTTCCATGTTTTTCCCGAGATCGACGTCCTTCCAATTCAGATGCAGCACTCGTGCGACCATGCGGCTGACGATGGACCTCTACAACGTCTTCATCTTCGACGCTGGAGAAGGATTTATCCAATGTGAAGGCCAGGGCTAAGAAAACAAAGAAAAGCAAGAGGGTCACCACACCTGGCGTTCCGGAGATGAAAGACGATTAACCTCTGTCGCGCTTAGCGTGAAACATGGTTTTCATCTCTCCGGCCTTCCCAGATGTCCACCTTGTCTGGAGTGATACCAGACAGAACAAGCAGCATCCACCTGAGCGAACGTACCAAAGATCGTTTTGCATCCAATCACCTCTGCATTCTGGCTCAGCATGCCCTCACAGGCTTCCCCCTCACTCTCTAAATGCGTTCCAGGCAACAAATAGGCGAGGACTGAAGCGGTACAGGTGAACATAAAGACTTGAAACTTCTGGATTTTCCGCACATCCATGTGTGGGATGGCAGAGATGCAAACGGATGATATACCTTCCACAGCACTCAAGCATGAAGCCAAAGGCCGCAACAGTCTCTAATGCATATGTCACTGACCTGAAGAAAGCCCAAGGTGCAAAAGAGATTGAAGGATGCGCTCCCAACAACTGTTTGAGGACCGAGACTGCCGGCGAAAAAGCGCTGGCTACAGAGCCTGAGCAATCTTTGTTCATTTAGTGTTTGTCGTAGCACTTTACCATCTATGGTGCATGCTTGCAGGACATCTGCTGAGCCAAGAAGGAACTGACCATTTCCACAAGGTCGCATGCCAAGTTGCTCGACCGTCGACAAGAGTATTTCTGGTGCCGATGAGCCTTCAGGGCTTGAAACCTTTGCAGTTCCTAATGAATGGCACGCATTTCATGCAGTCCCTTTCAACCCTCCTAGCTCAAGCTGACAACAACATTCCTTACAGCAATGTCCTTTTCAACAGACTCCAGGAAATTGGGTCAAAGACCAAAAAACAAAACCAAACATTTACAGTATTTCGTCTCGATCCGCGCCTAAGGCCTTAGTTTCAACGCTGGTGTTTTTGGAGAACAAAAAGGAACAACACAAGGTCAGGACCCCTTTAAGAATAGAAGGGCCTCATCAAAGGGGTCCTTGCTTTAGAATGTTCATCTCTTTCATAAGCAAAAGGGAAGTCCAAACAAAAACAGGCGACCAACTTGTCTGATCAAATAATGCGGATTCTGCAAATCTGTTTCACTATAGTTTGAATGGTATTTGCTCATGCTGCCAGCTACTCCTGTCGGCTGCCAAATGCCAAATTGTATCTTTGATTGTCATCCCAACGAAAAGAGTTGGGATGGTTTCACATTCAAAGAGTAATTAATCTCCAAACATCCTGCAAGCATCTGTTCCATTGCAACCTACGGAGCAAACATTTTGACCACTTCATCCTGTTCTTTGACATCTCACTGAGACTTTGCTCCAACTGGGTTCACCTGGTCGTCTTGCGACAAGTCGCCATCAGACTGAGATTCGCTAGCGTCTCGTTCCAGATCGTAATACGAATCTTAACCTGCTCCAGCAGCAATTGAGAAAGCTCTGTCTGTGACTGTGCAAGTTTCTTGGTATCCATCCTGAAGAATCCAAGAATCACTTGCACAGCTCAATGTAACTCTCTGATTCTCATAGGTCATAGGCCTTCTGCCCCGCTCGATTGGTGACCCATTTGGTACGTTTGCCACTGGTGATCTTCTCGATCGCAGCCATGAATTCATCGCAAATAATGCCCACCTGCCGAATCACTGGGAACAAGGACGCTACTAGGGGCTCCTGGCCTTAATACTAGGAACAAGAAGCTACTAGTAGCTCCTGGCATCGCTACTAGGAGCAAGGACACTACTAGTAATCACCACTTCAACACCACACAAACTCAAAATGGCCAACTCCAAATGGCTTGAACTTTTGCAACGAGTTCGCTCAGCGCAGCACCCCCTGGAACGACCATAGTAGCACGAAAAGGTAGAAAATACTTCTCGCCCTTGGCACAGAAAAGAGTCCATCCACTGACAAGTCAAAGCTGTCTTTCAGGTTGGAGGCCATTGCTATTAGGTTGGAGGCCATTGCTATTAGGTTGGAGGCCATTGCTA